TGGTCAGCGTGGAAGTTAGTCAACAAATACTTATTGAGAATTTGTGTAAGGGCTTAATGTCAAGAGATGGGAAATTCTGAAGACCCAGGTCCAGTGAAGTCCTTCCTGCAGGATGATCCTGGATGTTTGTATCACAGAAAACACTGAGCAATAATTATTCCGCCGTAATAGTCTCACATATGTTCAGACTGGGAAGAATGAAGGTAGAGTAAGAATGTAGTTCTCCTACTGCATTTATTTTTATTCAACAACCATTTATGGAGCCCCTGCTATATACCAAGAAATTTCATATTCATTTATTCAATTAAGCTTTCATTGAGTTTTTACTATGTCCTGGGCACTGAGGGAAGCCAAGGAAACCAGCTTGAAAAAGTCACAGCAACGGCCATCTGCAAAAGATCTGTCAAGGATGAATTAAGACAAGGTAGACAGGCAAATAAACTGAAATGTGGTCCACACAAGGTTAGAGATCTTCACAGCAGGAAAGGCAGGGCACCTAAACCCAGTCACAGGATGTGATAAATGGGCCAAGCCATGAAAATAAGTAGGAGCCAGCCAGAAGATCAAGGGGTAAAAACATCATGGGTTAGTGACCACTGTACTCAGACAAGCGGCTAGATTCTGGAGTCATGAATGGTGGCTGACCACTTTACTAGCTCCTTGTGGGCTATAAGATCTATCCACCCAATGAGCTTTAGTCTTAGAGTCCTCCATTTGCCAAAGCTAAAGAGTGTTTCTGAAGAGTACACCATGTTCTCCTACGGTTTTTATTCCTCCTGTTCTTCACTTCCTATCAACTAGACCAAGGATCAACAAACTGTGGCCCTAGGCCAAGCACGGCCCCCACCAGTTTTGTAAATTGTCTCACTGGCACACAGTCACGCCCAAGACAGTTGCCTTGTCTGCTTTCACACTACAAAGGCAGAGTTGAGTAGTTATGACAGAAACTGTGTGGGCCACAAAGCTTAGAATATTTACCATCTGGCCCTTTACGGGAAAAGTTCGCCAACCTTTGAGCTAGACTACAGCAGCCATGCTCTCAGCTGTCACTATTCCTTGTCATTTGAACCCAGGCGGATGTAGTCCCTTGACGGAAACCATCCTGGGAGGGAGTGAGTGGGGATGAGGGAGAGTGGGGACTGGAACCGGAGGGAGGGCCTGGGAGGTGAGATCTCTTGGCAGAGGAAAGACATCCTCTCTGCCAGGTGATTTAGGACTAGTGTAAGAGGACATATTATGAGGATACTGGGGCTTATCAGAAGATTGGATTCTGGGCGCCTGGGTGGCTCAGTCGTTAAGCGTCTGCCTTCGGCTCAGGTCATGATCCCAGGGTCCTGGGATCAAGTCCCACATTGGGCTCCCTGCTCGGCAGGAAGCCTGCTTCTCGCTCTCCCACTCCCCCTGCTTGTGTTCCTGCTCTCGCTATCTCTCTCTCTGTCAAATAAATAAATAAAATCTTTAAAAAAAAAAAAAAGATTGGATTCTTCTTCACTTATTGTTTCACTCTGCCTTTAAAAAAAAATGTGCAGCCTTATATTTTGCCAGATTTCAGAGACTCTATGGAGAATTCTTTTTATAAAGCATGATCATGCAAGGGGAGGATAGCACCTCAGATGTTTGAGCTGGGAGGCCACATACAATTCAAATCAGAGCCACCAGCCCTCCGTGGGACTGGAACAACCTGAAGTGGAGAACATAATCCACATCCCACACAGCCCCCGGACCCCTTTCTTTGGCAGCCTGATGATTAATGCATAAACCAGAAAGACAATTCATTGACTGCCTTCTGGTCTCTTGAGCACAATGCAGTCAATAAATATTTATTGAATCCATTTTCCCAAGGCTTGCGGCACTTCCTCAATGATAAGTCATAACTGAATAAGCAAGAATTGTTCAGGGTGGTTACAAATAAATATATAAAGGTATGTTAATGGAATCCAAGCTAGGAATGGTCAGCAGGAAAGAAAATATGCATCCGTCTATGGACAAGTTATCCCAGGGGTATTAGATATGGGGTGTAAGGAAAAAGCATGTCACATAAGCTCCAGAAGTGAGAATCTCCAAAGAAAGAAGGAAGAAAGGTAAAAAAGAAGAAAGGCATAGAGAAAGATCTACAAATGACTCTATTTTGAACAAATGAAAATACGATTTTTAGGGCCAACCTTTTGTATTCTCTCTGGCTTTATGCGGGTAACACTTTCATCTGTCACTGAAATGGCTCCTCCACTCAAGAAATGGCAGAGTTAACTGAAATGGGCTCCCAAATTGTAATTTTTGCAATAAAGTTAAAATATGACTTTCTGCAACCTGTTTGGAGCTATAGCACCAGTATGCTGATGCAGTTCCCCTTAAGCCCCAGTCACGTTAGATTTTGAATGGTGTCTTGCCAATTTGGGCACGGGCATGGGTGTTAAGGTACATTTATTTAAGACTGAATGCTTATCCTGAGTTAAAAGCAAATTAAAATCTTGCGTGTGAGATAATATTAAAAGGGGGCGATGTAATTAGCACATTCTCCTTTGTGCAGTCTCCTCAAGCTCCTGTGGAGCCTGAGAAGGCACAGCTACAGTGAGAGCAGAAGCCTGGATGGTGCTGGCAAGGAAAGGCTTCTGCATGGCTAGGTGTCCAGCTTTGTAGGGGGAAGATCTTGCCTCTGGGAAATGATCCAGTAAGCCAGCCTACAATTAATGACCATCTAGGTCCAGCCCTTCACCGAATTGGAAAGGACATTAGTAGCTGCACAGTTCACCTCCATTGGCTCTGATTCTGCATTCCCTGTCCACCGCCGCTCCATGACTGAAGAGGAAATCAGTGCTCCATTGGCTTCAGGCAGCAAGAAAGAGGCAGATCCAGGAGGGAAATCATGACGTCTCAGGGTTCTTTTCAGGAGACCACCCCAAGGATGGAAGGGCATCAGGTCTATGGTCCCTTAGGGTAACCTAAAGAAGACAGACAGTGTTTGATTCATGGCATTTTGAGAGTTGTCTTTGCCCGTCCGGTGCTGTAGACAATAGCTGAATGATAGGCTTTATGGCCACCAACTCAACCGAGGAAACTTGCCCAAAGATTTATGGCTTACTGCTCACCCCCACCAAAATATCTGTTCCAAGTCCCTTCCGAATTCCACTCTCTCCTGACTTCTAGACCGCCTGCCCATTTTTTCCAAAAGAGGCAGAAAGAAGAGATTCTGAGGGTTTTCTTCTGGAAGGTTATCACTTCTAATCATATATGTGAAGGCTGACATGAGGTACCCTAGTATCCAACCTCCACACACTGAACAGCTTCAGTGGCATCACTAGAAAAGACCAGAGAAGAAAACCCAGGTCGCTAGCAAGAAAATGTGAAGAAAGGTGTTTTAAAGTTTAGAATTATAAAAGGTCACTCAAAGAAGCCTTCACAAAAACTGAGCCATCAAGCTTCCCAGACAGGGAGTCAGATCTGATCATAACATGATGAAGAGAGGAAGGCTCTGAATGCTTCTTTCCCTTCCAGCTGGATGCCCAGCAGACTTGTCCCAAATCCAGCTAAATGCACCTCTTTAAGCGCCTCCAACAGTCCCCCTGCCATACCAAGACTTGATTGCCTCTGCCGCCTCCGTGAGGCTCTAAGGCATTTATCAGATTACCAGTTGAGGTCACATATCCTACTGTCGTGTTTTGTGGTTGCCTATTTATGCGCCTACTCTCCCCAGAGAAATTAGAAGCTTGGAGCCGAGAAGGAAAAGCTGTGTTCTGCATGCGGCAGGTGCCCAGTGCGAATTTGTAGAGCACATGCTGAGTGAAATTGCTTTACTTATAACCGTGGCCCCAGTTCTAGCCTACAGATCCTAGGAGTCCAAAGGGTGTAGAAAAAGAATTATGTGGAATTATGTGCATCCAGCTGACAGCTGGGCTGCTATTTGTCTGCTCTTTTCCGAAGTCTCCATTGGCCATTCCGTCCCACAGAAGCCAGAAATAACTGCATATCAGAGAATCAAATGTAAGGTTTTGTCCGGTAATATTTAAACCCCAAAGGCAGTGTGAGACATAATTTCTACTCTGACAAAGGATACATATTTTAAGGGATGGATCCATAAACTTTGCAAGAAAAAATACACAGAGTAAGATGCCTTTTAAAACGGAGGATTCAGAATTGATGTGATTGTAATTGATATGAAATGTTGATTGGAATATTTATTCCTAAGATTTCTGCTACATTTCAGAGGTGGCACAAATTCAAACGTGTGGACACACTCATTCGGGGCTCCATCCCAGGGGAGAGGACATGGGGGAGTGGCTCCAAGTCCTGAGTCATCATTCACGTTTCTTCCCCCTTCCTGCAAATGAGGTTTCATCCACCCTGGACTTTAATATACCCAAGTGTGTCTGTCTCAGCAGGTGGAGACTGTTTCTCCCCGTGAGGTATGCCTTGGTAGCCACACACTGACTTCTAGATGTTCAAAGAACGGATGAAGATTTCACCTGGAGCTGATGTTTTCTCTTAGGCTACTTCTTTCTCACACACACACTCATTGTTCCTCACATTGGAGAGACCAATATAAGATTGTTAGCCTCTTCAATTGCCACATAAGAACTTTTAAAAACCACTATTTCTATCAACATCATTCCTTAATCCAAAAAGGATAACGACAGCGTTTATATTGAATAAATTGACAACATTTTTCTTGTCCTTCTAATTCTACTGTATCCCTCTGATCTATACTTGGTTATCATGTCCCCAGCATGAGCATTCTAATGATGAAAACGTCTCTCCTGGAATGTTGCTAGATGGGTTCTAAATATTTAAAAACCTGGTTGTCTTTTCCTATGGATTTTAGGGTTTTATGTCCTAGGAGTCATAAAATTTAAGGATAGAATATGCAAAAAGGATCAGAAAATAGTAATAAAAATCATCAGAAGTCAAAGGTTTCCCTGGAGTTTTTCGTTGGTAGGGACAGTGCTAATTGCCAATGCAAATTTTGGTGACCAAATCAGAAATTTATCCTTTCTTCTCTGTTCCAGGTACATGGCCATCATCCATCCCCTCCAGCCCCGGCTGTCAGCCACGGCCACCAAGGTGGTCATCTGTGTCATCTGGGTCCTGGCTCTCCTACTGGCCTTCCCCCAGGGCTACTACTCAACCACAGAGACCATGCCCAACAGAGTGGTGTGTATGATTGAATGGCCAGAGCATCCCGACAAGATTTACGAGAAAGTGTGAGTAGGAATGACTCCCCAGTGGTGCCTTCTTTGTCTTTTCTTGTTTCTTCTTTCTTTCCATGCTCTTTTGTTGGTTGGGATTTAGTGTCTTTCTGTAAGCATTTCTTCATAACCACTCTGATATCAAGTTGATGTGTCCATCATTATCAAGGGACTCTTATCTCCCAAATACTACTCTGGACTTCAAATGAAGATTAGAAAAATGTGGGACCTGGATCCTGTTATAGCCTACCGTCCAGGTGTTCTTCCATCTCCTCCGTGGGTCGCCAGTGACTCTGCCCTGCCAGTGTCTACATTGCTTTGCCTGGGAGCTCTTTCCTCACCTACAGAACGCCGCTCTGCCCTCTTGCTCAGCATGCCAGAGGTGGGGGAATTATCCCCTGCTCCCAGCAGCTCTCAACAACAGATAGGAACCGGTGTATGAATACCCCAGCTCCCTCAGCCCACAGGTGGAATGTCTCTGAGGTGTGTGTTTTACACTGTGTCCAAGGTTTTGTGTTGGGGTGAAGCTCCAGTCACCCCAGCGGCAGCTGGCTCGATGACACACCCTTCCTTGTATCACTGCCCTACTCCCTACTGGTGTTTCTTTCTCCTTCTAACTAAGTCACTTGCACTTGAATCTTTATCTCAGGATGTGCCTCTGGGGAAAACCAAGCCACAGCACCTGTCTTCCAGGGTCTTCTAGGTGGAGAAATAAGATACACATTCAAATGCATGGGAAGGCAAAGCCAGTACAATGAGACCTTATGAATTACAAGTTTCCCTACAAAGCAGGCCTGCTTATCTTCGGGGGCCTGACTGATCTCATTTAAGGGTTTTCAAAGAAATCCTGGCAATTTTCTCCAAGACTTCTCCTAGAGGCAACACTGAAATGGCTTATTCTTTGTTTTGTTCTGCTCAGGTAAGTGGCAATGTGACATTTATATTACCATCAGTTTTCTGGGCTCAGAGCACATTGACAATGTGGGTCCTTTTGAAAGTTCTCTATAATCCTCCTATCTCGGGTTTATTATGTGCATCATAAAAGAACACTGGTGTTAATAATCAGGTGATCTATGTCTTAATAACAAGATTGCCATTACTAGTTATGTGACTCTGGGCAAGAATCACAGTCCCCCCTCATTGTTAAAATTGAAAGCGACAAAGCACCGCTTCCCGTAAACGACTGCTATGAAGCACAAATGAGATCATGGATCCTCCCCTTGTAAGCTATTAAATGCCATAGGAAAGGTAGGATAATGTTATCGAACCAAATTCATCAGATAGCGGTAGAATCATTACAGGCCTTTAAACTCGCTAGATGGTAACACAAGACACTCCCTGTTGACCCCCAGGATCCGACTGTCGGAAAGCCTGCTGCGGAGAGTTACGCTGCCGCACCTGTTCCATGGAGCACGGAAATGGGGCTCGCCAGCAAGCAATACATAAAGCAGACTTTGCCTTCCAGACACAGGCAGTGGGATTTAATCGATCAAGCAGTGGGGGGATTAATGCTCAGCCTAGAAGCAGACATTGAAAATTATTCTTCCAAATGAAACTACAAGCCTGAGTGGGGTCTCAGCGCGAGGAAGAACATAGCTTTACAAGCTGTACAGGGCCCCCAAACATGTTCGAGCCAGAAGGTTCCCTCAAAAAGGAAAAATGAAAGCCCTGTGAATTAAAGCCCATTCTAGAAACTGCTTAGAAACTGCCTTTGAGGGGCGCCTGGGTGGCTCAGTCGGTTAAGCGACTGCCTTCCGCTCAGGTCATGGTCCCGGAGTCCCGGGATCGAGTCCCGCATCGGGCTCCCTGCTCGGCGGGGAGCCTGCTTCTCCCTCTGACCCTCTCCCCTCTCATGCTGTTTCTCTCTCTCTCTCTCAAATAAATAAATAAATAAAATCTTTAAAAAAAAAGAAACTGCCTTTTATTGCATGGTCTGTAGCTCAGCTCTTGGCTCTCATGATCTTTTCCAAGTCTGGTTACCTTCCTACAGTTTTGTTTCAAAATACAGTTAGTTTATCCTCCAACAAATTCAAAGTTTAACATGGAAACAAAGGTATTTCCACAGATCTCTGGAGTCTTGCCCAAGAAATAGTAGTTTTTAAAGTTTGAATATTTTGCTGTCTTCTGCTTGAATATTTTGCTGTTTTATGCTTATTAGTGACTAAGAAAGCCCTTTGGGACTCTATACAGCATATGCCGGATTGTCTTATTTCCTTGCAATGAGAATTTAGGGTAGCTGTACTGGATGCATGGTTAGGTTTGCCATCATTGTTTATTTCATGATTTTTTAAACTTCCTCTTTCTTTTATTTGTTTTTTTTTTAATTTTCTTATTTTTATTAAGTTTTTAATTTTAATTCCAGTATAGTTAACATACAGTGTTATATTAGTTTCAGGTGTATAATGTAGTGATTCCACAATTCTATATATTACTCAGTGCTCACCATGCTAAGGGTTCACCTATTTCACCCATCTCCCCATCCCCTCCCCTCTGGCAACCATCAGTTTCTTCGCTATAGTTAAGAGTCTCTTTCTTGGTTTGTTTCTCCCTCTCTTTTTCCCTTTGCTCATTTGTTTTGTTTCTCAATTCCACGTATGAGTGAAGATGAATGGATAAAGAAGATATGAGACACAGACACACAGACACAGACACACACACACTGGAATATTGTTTGGCCATAAAAAAGAAGGAAATCTTGCCATTTGCAACAAAATGGGTAGAGCTGAAGAGTATAATACTAAGTGAAATAAGTCAGTCAGAGAAAGACAATACCATACGTTTATTTCTTGATTTTAACCTTAAAAAAATGAGTCTGGAGAAGAGCATCTGATTTTATCTACTCAGGATGTGTAAAATGCTTATGGATACAGTAGTAAGTTAAAAGAACCCATATTTGTCATCCACATATGTGCTGTGAAGCAAAGGTAACTCAAGTGCATAGCAAGCTTTATGTAAGTCTTTTTCCTTTTTGTCAATATCCTTCATAATGTATTATGATATGCTTTTAGAGAATTTAAGTTTTACTAGCTGTAACCTAAGTACTTCATTATATTGTCTTCCGCTAGAACCGATTGCCATTTCCACAGCACGCAATAATCCCAAATTTGAAACCAGGAGGAAACTTTGTTTAAGGCAGTGTAATAATTAGGTTAGGAACATGGGTTCTGGAGTTAAATGAGGGATCAACTCCCAGCCACATCACTCTCTAGTTGAGTCATCATGGTCAAGTTCTTTAAGCCTCTAAGCTGAATGGAACATTCCACATAGAGGTATTAAGAGAAGCAAGTAAGGCACATGCTTAGCCCAGTGCCAGGCACATGGGAAGAGTCTGGTGAGTATTAACTACTGCCATCAGCATCAGTCATTGATCTGGGTGCATGGGTAGATGGCTGGCAGCAGACAGTGTGGTGGGCAGATGCTTAGGCCCAATTTGCCTGATGAATAATTTGTGCCAGCTAATTACATAAAAAGGTTTTGTGAAAAATCTTAGATTGCTGCATTTGCCTTCTGGCTGCATGGTGAACTTCCAGCCCTGATCATTCATCATTCAGACTCTTTATTAATACATGGATTAAATTAAGCACTATTAAAGAAAGGCAATCCAATAAAAGAACAGGCAAAAGTTTTGAACATGCACTTCACAAAAGGAAGTGTCCAAATGACCAATTAATATGTGAAGAGGCACACAACTTCATTTGTCACCAGTGAAATACAAATTAAAACCATAATGACATCTTACTGCACACCCATTAGACTAGCAAATGTTAAGAAGTCTGACTCAACTAAGAATTTAGAACTCTTGGTGAAATTAGGAAACAATGAGAACCTTTGTAGACTGCTAGAAGAAGTATACATTGATAAAACCATATTGGAAAACATTTTGTAGTATCCAGAAGAGCAGAAGCTCTCCATACACTATAACCCCACAGTTTCGCTGGGGGCTGATTGCCCTAGAAGAATGCATGCATGTGTGCACCCAAATACAGCTAGCGTGTGGTTCAGATCAGCATTGTTCGTAATGCCCCAAACTGGAGATATTCCAAATGTCCATCATCAGTAGGATGGCTATAAAATTGTGACACAAGCATGTAACAGAATACTATGTAATTAATAAAATGAACAAAATGTAGCTCCATGCAACATGGATGGCTCTTACAAAGTTTTAAAACAAAATGAACAAAATGAAAGTACATCTTCAAGAGCACATCAGGAGGTGGTAAAACTATAAAAGCAAACAAAGCAGTAGTCACCATGAAAGTGAAGACATGATTCTCTCTCATGGGAGGGAAAGGGGTATGATCAAGAAGAGACACTTAGAGGTGCTTCTGAGGGGCTGACACTATTATATTTCTCGATCTCTGTGGTAGTAGCATGACTGTTGGCTTAAAAATCATTCATAATACCGGATAATTTTGTTCATCCACTTTTTCTGGAATGTATGCTTCAAATTTTTTAACTGTAAATTAAATGCTATTCAAAGGATTTTGCTTTTACAAGCTCTCAAGAAACTGCTCTCATTGGGATAACCCCAAAAGTTCCTTCCTAAGAAATTACCTTTTGAGATGTGGAGCTTTGCTTAGAATGATATTATTCATAAGTTTTTACCTTTGAATAAGCCAAAGTATGGATGGACCCCACTTCATTCGCATGCTTACTTGACCCTGTGCATTTTGCCTTGCTGACTTCTATACTTCAGCCCACCTGGAATTTTCCCAACTGGTCTAAGAGTGTATGGGACAAATGCTGTCCTTGGAAGGAGTGGCAAACATTAAGCAGAGCATAAAACCCAGACAGTCTCCCCCACAGCTCCCCCCCTCCACCCGCCTTGCTGCTATTCATAAGCATCCACCTCTGGGCTATAAAATGTTACCAACAGACTTGGTCAGTTTCCTGGAAAATCATTTAAAACTTTATTTTGCATTTTTAAAATGAATAGATTATGGAGTCTACAGAAAATTCCTCTAATTTCTTTAATCATCTGTATGCCCATCATTCATGAAAGGCTCTAACATTTTGATG